GAAATTTACCTGTGTCACAAACCTGCATGTGTACCCCCGAATCTAAAAAGTGGAAATTTTCTTACAAACTGGTGAAATTGAAGGGAGAAATGGACAAATCCATAATTATTGTTAGAAACTTTAATATTTCCCTTTCAGGAATTGATCAAGCAGATAGAAAATCAGTTAAGATATAGAAGGCCTAAACAACAATGTTAAACAATTAGACCTAATGGACATTTATAAAACACTCCACATAATAGCAGAATACACTTCCAAGAGTGCACAGAACATTCACCAAGATAGATCATATTTTAGGCCATTAAACACAAAATGTAAAAGAATAGAAAAGCTTTTTAAAGAATAGTAATCATACAAAGCATATTCTTGAACCATAAGGGAATTAAACTAGAGAACAGTAACAGAAAGTGATTGGGAAAATCTTCCAAATATTTTGAAATTAAATAAAAACACTTTGAAATAACCATGGGTCAATTAGGATGTTTTAAGGGAAATTTAAAATACATTTAGAATGAAATGAAAATAAAAATGCAACATATCAAAATTCGTGTGAAGTTGCTAATGTGGGAGCTATTGGGAAATGTACAGACTTCAACGCTTACACTGAAAAATAAAAGTCTCGGCCGGGCGCGGTGGCTCACTCACGCCTGTAATCCCAGCACTTTGGGAGGCCGAGGCGGGTGGATCACGAGCTCAGGAGACCGAGACCATTCTGGCTAACACGGTGAAAAGCCCTCTCTACTAAAAATGCAACAAATTAGCCGGGCGCGGCGGCTGGCGCCCGTAGTCCCAGCTACTTGGGAGGCTGAGGCCGGAGAACGGCGTGAACCCGGGAGGTGGAGCTTGCAGTGCGCCGAGATCAGGCCACTGCACTCCAGCCTGGGCGACTGAGCGAGACTCTGTCTCAAAAGAAAAAAAAAAGAGAAAGAAAAAGAAAAGTCTCATATCAATGATCTAATCTCCCACGTCAAGAAATTAGAAAAACAATCAAATTAAACCCAAAATATGTAGAGGAAAAAAATATAAAGATTAGAGGAAGAATCAATAAAACTGAAAACAGGAAAACAATTAGAATAAACAAACTAAATGCTGATTCTTTGAAAAATCAATAAATTGGTAAACCTAAAGCTAAACTAACCAAGAAAAAATAACAGAAAACACAAATTGTCAATATTAGGAATGAAAGAGTAGACATCACAGACATTAAAAGAATAATAAGGGAACAGTACAAACAACTCTTTATAAATTCTAAAATTTGGACAAAATGGACTAATTTCTTAAAAGGCAGAAATTATAAAGTTCATTCAAGAAGAAATAGATAATGGAAAATTTTCTGTATCTATTAAATAGTTGATTTTGTAGTTTAAAACTTCCTGTAAGAAAACTCCAGGCCCTGGAAATTTTACAGGCAAATTCTACCAAACATTTAAGGAAGAAATAGCACCAATTCTATACAATGTGTTTGAGAATGTGGAAGAGACAGGAAAGCTTCCTAACTCATTTTATGAGGACAGCATTTATCTAATACCAAACCAGACAAAGAAATTACAAGAAAACTACACTCTGATATCTCTCATAAATTTTGATGCAAAAATCCTAAACAAAATATTTGCAAGTCAAATCTAGTAATATATAAAGGGAAAAATATGTCACAACCAAATGGGGTTCAGTCATCCCAAGAATGCAGTTTGTAATGAATAAAATTAAAGAGCTAAGTAAATGGAGAGATATATTATATTCATGGATTGGAAGACTCAACATTGTTAAAATGTCAGTTGTCCCAAATTTAATCTATAGATTTAACATAGTCCCTCCCCTCCCCAAATCCCAGTAAGTTGGTTCTAAAATTTATATTAGAAAGCAAAGGAACTAGAATAACCAAACGATTATAAAAAAAAATTAACAAAGTCAGAGGAGTCACATTACGGAATTTCAACACTAACTATAAAGCTACAGTATTCAAGACTATGTGGTATTGGTAAAGGATAGACATATATATCAGTGGAACAGAATAGAGAGCCCACAAATAGATACACACAAATATAATCAACTGATATTTGACAAAAGTGTAAACGCAATTTGATAGAGAACGGTTTATAACAAATGGTGCTGGAATTATTGGATGCTCATACGCAAAAAAAAAAAAAAAAAAATCTCAACCTCAACCTCACACCTTATCCAAGAATTGACTCAAAATTGTTCATAGAATGAAATCAAAAATGGAAAACTTCTAGAAACATTGTTTTCTATAGGGCAAAATCTGCATGACCTTTGGTTTGGTGATGAGTATTTAGATATGTTATCAAACATCATAATCCATAAAGGAAAAATGATAAGTTAGACTTTATCAAAATGGAAAACCTTTGCTCTGCAAAAGACACTGTACGAGAATTCAAAGACTGGGGAAACTACTTGTATATCAAATATCTAATAACAAATTTATACCTAGAATATATAAAGAGCACTTGAAATTCAATGTTATGAAAACAAACAACCTGGATTAAAAAGCAGGCAAAGGATCTGAACACACTTCACCAGAAAAGATATATGGATAGAAAATGAGCACATGAAAGATGGTCAACACAATTAGTTATAGGGAAATGTAATTAAATTGAATTACGACCACAATAAGATACCACTACATAACTGTTAGAATGACATCCCCCACCAGAGTGGTTACATTTGTTACATTCAAGCCTACATTGACACAGCATTATGACCCAAAGGCCATAGTATACTCTTGGTGTAGTACATTCTATGAGTCTTGACAAATATATAACATGTATCCACTATTGTAGTATCATACAGAATAGTTTCACTGTCCTAAAAGTCCTCTGTGTTCTGCCTATTAATCCCTCCCTTCTCCTAGCCCCTGGCAGCCCCTGAGCTTTTTACTGTCTTCATAGTTTTGCCTTTTCCAGAATTCCAGTTAGAATCATACAGTATGCAGCCTTTTTAGATTGGATTCTTTCACTTAGCCAAATTTACTATTGACTCTTCAGAAGTGTCAAGGTCACGAAAGACAAGGAAAGACCAATAAAAGGTCAGGCAACCAAGAAGATATAATAAAATGCAACGTGACATTCTGGATTGGATCCTGGAATGGAAAGAAGACATTACTGGAAAAACAGGAGAAATTTGAATAAAATCTCTAGTATAATTAATAGTATGTATTTTACCAATGTTAACTTCCTACTTTTGATAAGTGTATCATGGTTATGTAAGATGTTGACACAGAGGAAGTTGGGTGAAGGATATATGGGAACTCTCATATCTTTGGAACTCTCTGTAAATATAAAACCATGCATGGTAAAATAAAATGAAAAAAAGGGTTTTGGTTATAGAAATACGTAATTTACATCTAATATATATTAAAGAAGTAAAACTGTAATATGCATGTTTTTAAAACTCCTCTAGCTAGGAGTAGTGGTGCATGTGCCTGTGGCCCCAGCTACTCAGGGAGGTGAGGTGGGAGGATCACTTGAGCCCTAGCAGTCAAGGCTGCAATGAGCTGAGATAGCACCACTGCACTCCAGCCTGGGTGACAGAGCAAGGCCTCTTCTCAGAACAAACAACAAACAAACAAAAACTCCTCAATGCAGCTTAAGATGTGATTTTTCTTGTCCTTTTAGTATACCCCTTTTAGGTTGTGTATCAAAACATTGTTTAAAAGTCACTTATAGGCCGGGCGCGGTGGCTCAAGCCTGTAATCCCAGCACTTTGGGAGGCCGAGACGGGCGGATCACGAGGTCAGGAGATCGAGACCATCCTGGCTAACACAGTGAAACCCCGTCTCTACTAAAAAAATACAAAAAACTAGCCCGGCGAGGTGGCGGGCGCCTGTAGTCCCAGCTACTCGGGAGGCTGAGGCAGGAGAATGGCGCGAACCCGGGAGGCGGAGCTTGCAGTGAGCTGAGATCCGGCCACTGCACTCCAGCCTGGGCGACAGAGCGGGACTCCGTCTCAAAAAATAAATAAATAAATAAATAAAAGTCACTTATAGTAATTTTCTGTGTGGTCATACCACTAACTTGAGAGACAGCCAGGGTCAAGTGCTTCTGTTTATTTTAAATTGAGGGAATTGTGGGGTTTTTCTTTCTGATTTCTTTGAACTATGTAAAAATAATTACATATATATAGTCTTGCTTCCATTCCGGTTCCGTCCCTTCCTGTTCCCTCCCTCTCCTTATAGATAACCATCTTTATGAGTTCGCATTTTCCCCCTAGTTTTTTCCTGAAATTTTAAGCAAACTATCTCCTTTCTTACAAAAACACTTTTCTGCAGCTTGCTTTTTTTCACTTAACACATATCCTAGAGATGATACCATATCAGTAGAGAGCTTCCTCATTTCCTTTTTATTACTGCATCATGCATTTTCACAGTTTATTCAATAAGTTCCCTGTATAGTGATGAATATGTAACCTAATGAATAATTGACAGTGACTCCTCAGGATAGATCCCTAGAAGTCATACTGCTGAGTCAAAGGGTAAATGCATATGTACTTTTGGTAGGTATTGTGGTAGTGTTATACCAATTTGTATCCTCACAAGCAAGTTATAAAAGTTATGTTTTTCTACATGCATATTGTCAAAATATTGGATTTTTGCTAATCTGATTAAGTGAAAAATAGCATTTCAGCACAATTTAAATTCGTATTCTTTTTATAAAGTGAAGACTCATTATTTAAAGGCCACTGCATTTTTTTGGTGATTTGTCTACACATATATTTGCCCATGTTTTTATTGAAATGTTTATTTCAGTCTTCTACATTCTTTGTATAATATGAATATTTGCATTTCCCTGTGATATGTTTTTTATTTGTTTTTTTGACTTTGCTTATAAGAATTTTTTGCCATGAAGATTTTTTATTTTAGTAAAGGTTTCTTGGATTACTAAATAGCAAAATTTTATACAACAACTTAAGATTCCTATAAAAATTAACATTATTTCATTATTATGTATTGAGTCCTTACTCTGTGCTAAGCACTGTTATTTGGTGTCCTGGAAGCAGAATTAGCTGCATTTAAAGGTCAAATGCTCCTGTCACAGCTTAGGTCTTGAGACATGATTTTGGTGATGGCTGCCTTTACATCCCTGTTTCTCAGAGTGTAAATGAGGGGGTTGAGAATTGGTGTAACAATGGCATATACCACATTGCCCATGATGTGGAAGTCAAGGGACAGGTCAACCCTGTAAGCCACGTAGGCTATAGCAATAGATGAGTAGTAGGTGCCCACCACCAGGAGGTGGGAGCTGCAGGTGGAGAAGGCTTTTGCCCGTCCTTCTCGGGAACTGATGCAAAGCACCGAGGCCAGGATGTGGGCATAGGAGAGAAGCACCAGGAGAAGGGGGAGGAAGGACACCACCATGGCGATGCAGAAGCCCATGAGGATCTGGAGGGTGGTGTCAGAGCAGGAGGCCTGGACTACAGCCAGATGATCACAGAAGCAGTGGTAGATGTAGGCAATCCTGTTGTATGTCATCTGGGAGGTCCTTACTACTGCTGGGATGGGCAGGAGGAGGGCAGTAAGCCAGGCACTGGCTGCCAAGGTAGCATTGGTCTGTGGGTTCATGAGGACAGGGTAGTGCAGTGGGTGGCAGATAGCCACATAGCGGTCATAGGCCATGACCACCAGGATGAAGGCTTCTGAACATGTAAAACTTTGGAAGAGGTACATCTGCAGTAAGCAGGAAGAAAAGCTGAGGAAGCGGTCCCCAAGCAAGAATAGGGACAGCATCTTGGGGACAGTTGTCGTGGTGAAAAGGATGTCCAAGGTGGAGAGATTGATCAGAAAGAAGTACATGGGCTTGTGGAGGCTGGGCTCTGCCACCACGGCCACCAGAACCAGGGCATTACCCATCAGGATGAGAAGGTAGAAGAGGAGGAAAATAAAAAACACAGGGAGGAAGAAGATCTCTGGCAGAGAGGGGATGCCCACCAGATAGAAGATGGGTGAGCCATCCACTGATTCATTACAGGCTGTGGCATCCATGGTGAGACAGAGCTGGATTTCTCAGAGATGAGCAGCTGGAACATCTAGACACTGGAAACATCTGGAAACCATAGAAACAAAGGATTCTGGAGTGATAATTCTATAATGTTTACTCTGTAGGTAATATAAGCACAATTATTTACAACCAACTGTAGAGGACTGATGAGGGGCTATGGTATTGACTTTTACCATGTGAACCCAAAATTTGTCAAATATTGATTATTAATTAATTAATAACCTACCAAATAGAAGTCTGTACACTTTGTTTAGGTGATGAAGTGATCAAAGTGAAGAAGGCAGGCAAAGTTCTTGTCTTCCCAGAGTTTATATTTTACTGGAAAAATCAAATCTAAACAGTTGATTGTTGAATTATAATTATGAAAGTGCTTTGGAAAGGCTTCTGCTGGTCTTCATCTAAGGTTCCATGCTGTGTGGTTTAGGTTGATGTCAGAGCTCATAAATCAAGTCCTTAAGCTCATGTCTCTACTTTTGCACTCACTCAAAGTTCTACCATGTTCCATTGAGGGGCTCCTTTCTCCAAGGCTGCGTGTAATATGCAGCTGCTCACACTCATTAACTCTTGTATGCCTTGAGTAGTGGTTCTTTCTGACTCCATTTAAGCTAGGTGTCTGGACTTCGGCTCCTGCATTGGATATAATAGACCATGATAGCCCAACACTTTCACTGCAACGACTAGGGAAACCTGGATAAATTACACAAATCATATTTTTAAACAAATTGAGGAATATGGGTGCCATAAGGATGCGATGAAGTCAAACTCCAATGGGTGAGACCCTCCAAAGTTAACTAATAATCACCAGCTCTTTTGTTCTCCAGGAGTATTTAATTTGGGAACCATAGTGTGGCTGAGACTTGGACTAGGCAGAGAGTCATATATGAGGGAAAGAGAAACCAGTAAGACTTGTGATCGTTAAAAAAGGATTAGCAAAACATATTGGAAATTTGAGGCACTCTAAATGCATAACAAGTTTTCCCTATGGGACATCTGAATTCTGGCTATGCAAGGGAGGCTAGAAAGCTGGGCTGAGGGCCTCTAAAAGACAAAACAAAATCTTCCATGATTCCCATGATGCTTAAGAGAATAGAGGAAGAGGGATTTCCTCACACACACACTGGTATTTCCTCTCAAAACATTTTACAAAGATTTGAAGCTATGTGTGTATGTAGTGGGCGGGGGGAAAAGAGGGACGGGGAATGCAGCTAACGAATTAAGCTCAAAACCACCAAAGGATAGATGCAAATCTCCCATACTCCTTCAGGGCTGAGGAGACAAGGATCAACCAGGCTGTAAGCTCAAAACTCAGGAGGGTCATAACTTCAGAACAAGAACATGCCAAAGTTGGACTAAATTTTACTAGAACTGAAACTCAGCCCTAACCTAACTCAAGCCTTAATTGGCTTTAGGTAGCCAGCCTACCTTACTCTACCTGCCTAACAAAGAAAAGGGAGGAATCTGTCTGATGAGAGACATCATCTGGGGCCTCTATGAATCTAATATAAATAATGTTTGGTGCACAACATGAATTATTGCAAAAGGCAGGAAAATGTGACCAACAATCAAGAGGGAAAATATATGATAAAAGTTGACATACAGATGATCCCATTACCTGAGTTAGCAAACAAGGACTCTAGTATAACTATGTTTATATATTAAAGAAAATAGAGGAAATGTTGATAAAATGGATTTTAAAATGGACAATTTCAATAGAAAATTGGAATCTATTTTAAAAAGAATCAAGCAAACATTCTAGAAGTGAAATATCCAATATTTGAAATTAAGAACTCACTGAATAGGTAAAATAGCAAACTGGACACAACAGAAGATAGGATTAGAGACCTGGAAAATAGATCAGTAGAAGTAAATTTTACTTCGCTCAAAAAAGACAATAATAAATACAATACAAAGAGAATAAGAAAAGGCAGGAACCAGACTAGAAGATATTTTCCTATTTTCAATATATTTATCGAAGGCCATGTATCCAGTATATATAAAAACCTCGACAACCAGTAAGAAAAAGATAGATGACCTAATAGACAAATGGGCTAAAGACTTGAATAAGTGGGCACTTTACAAAAGAGAACATCCAAATGGCCAATAAGCATACGAAAAAATTAGCCTTCTAGAAACGTAAATTAAAATACAGGATGTTAATAGTACATACTCACTAAAATGGCTAAACTTAAAAGGACCACAAGTGTTGGTGAGATATGGAGTAACTGGTACCCTCATACATTGATGGTAACTAGTACAACCACTTTGGATAACAGTGTGGCCACAGCTTCTTAAACTTATGACTCAGCAATTTCACATCAAGACATATAACCAAGAGGTAAGACAAGGTATTCAGCTATTTTTGTTTGTTCATTTGTTTAAGGTACTCAGGTGTAATAAAGCCCAAAACTATTTGGGATGAATAATATATAGATAACTATAGATATAAATACAAATCTATATAGAGATACAGCTAAAGATATAGCACATTTCTAGCAACCCAGAAACAGCTAGTGATACAGCTAAAGATCTAGCACATTTCTAGCAACCCAGAAAGCTCCCTTGCACCAGATCCAATAAATTCCCCTACCCCCAATGTAGCTATTGTTGTGAGTTCTGTCACCATTGGTTACATTTTTCTGTTTTTGTTGTTCCTCTAAACGGCTTTTGTTAGGCTGGGCATGGTGGCTCACACCTGTAATCCTAATACTTTGGGAGGCTGAGGCAGGCAGATCACAGGAGTTCGAGACCAGCCTAGGCAACATGGCAAAACTCTGTCTCTACAAAAAAATTTAAAAATGAAAAATAAGATAAAAAAAAAAAAGATAAGGCTGGGTGCAGTGGCTCATGCCTGTAATCCCAGCACTTTGGGAGGCCAAGGCAGGCAGCTCATGAGGTCAGAAGTTTGAGACCAGCCTGACCAACATGGCGAAACCTCGTCTGTACTAAAAATACAAAAATTAGCTGGGCATGGTGGCGCATGCCTGTAATCCCACCTACTCAGGAGGCTGAGGCAGGAGAATCGCTTGAACCTGGGAGGTGAATGTTGCAGTGAGCTGATATTGTGCCACTGCACTTCAGTCTGGTGACAGAGCAAGACTCTGTCTCAAGAATAAATAAATAAATATATACATACATACATACATAAGTGTTTATTGTCATATTACAGTAAAAGGAAGGGCAAAAGATGCCTTTTGTGAGGGGACTTGCTTCCAGATTGGAATCTAAGTTAAAGGTGTGTTCTACCCAATAGCATAAACAGAAATTGGAGGATGTCCCTGTATAAGAGCATGACTTTTGTTCTCTCCTATCAGCTACGCTGTTCAGCAGGTGTTCCTGATTAACCATGTCATTATCACTATCCTGTAGTCTTCCCTAACCCCAGATAAGATGGTACTACAGGAATCTGGAAACTTGGGAGTCTTGGGAGCCATTGTTGCTAGAGAACATCTTGTGACAAGTGCCCAAAGGCAGAAGACCCCATCCTAGAGATTGTTCTCCCCCTGTCAAGGAAGAAGAGATGTGTGCTTTTGTCTGCCCACAGAACCAGAGATCTTTAACTGAGGGAGAATATTGACTGCTCTACTATGTTGGGGATGTCTCTCTGAATAAACAATCCAGGGGCAAGTTCACATTTATGTTTACATCATTGCCTCTTGACCCTGAAGATTCTAAGAGTACCTTCTCTCTGATTTTCCCTATTTCTCTTACCACTAATAAAATATCTCTCATGCCGTTGAATCGTAAAAGTACCAAACCTGGAAATATCCAGTCGGCTTTTCCTTTTTTTTTTTTTTTTGAGACAGAGTCTTGCTCTACCGCCCAGGCTAGTATGCAGTGGGGCAAGCTCAGCTCACTGCAACCTCCGCCCTCCTGGGTTCAAGCAATTCATGTGCCTCAGCCTCCTGAGTATCTGGGATTACAGACATGTGCCATCACGCCCAGCTAGTTTTTGTATTTTTAGTAGAGACGGAGTTTCACCATGTTGGCCGGGCTGGACTCGAACTCCTGACCTCAAGTGATCCGCCCGCCTCAGCTTCCCAAAGTGCTGGGATTACAGGTGTGAACCACCACACCTGGCCAGCTTTTTCTTTTAATAGAGAAAGGGCAAAAGACAAAAACATCCAGGGCTTTCCCATACTGTCATGGCCAGCGAGCCACAGAGATAGACTGGAGCCCAGGTTCTAACTCCCAGAGCAGCATTCTTCTATAGTCAGTTCCCTGGAGAATCTGGAAGTTCAAGTTTTCATGAGGGGAGAGACTGGGGCAAATGTTTTCTCTTTCCTTCTCCATATCTTTGGCTGATATTATCAGCAGCAAACTGTAAATTTCAGAGTTTGTTCTTTAGTTTCCTAAGCGTGGGGTGGCCTGGTTCTCTGTCAGAGAGTGAAGGCTGGTAAAACGTCTTTCTAAAAGACATATGAGGCGGGACACAGGGGTTCACAGCTGTAATCCCAGAACTTTGGGGGGCGAAGGTGGGAGAATGCTTGAGACCTGGAGTTCGAGGCCGGCCTGGGCAACATAGCAAGACCCCGTCTCTACAAAAAATTAAAAATTTAGCCAAGTACAGTGGCTTGTGCCTGTGGTCTCACTACTCAGAAGGCTGAGGCAGGAGGATCACTTGAGCCCGGGAGTTCAAGACTACAGTGAGCTATAGTCATGCCACTGCACTCCAGCCTGGGCAACAGAGGGAGACCCTGTCTTTTAAACAAAACAAATAAACAAAAAGACACATGGGACAGACCACTCCCTTGTGAATGCTCCCTTGAAAGAGTATTCTACAGATTGGCCCCCATTACGCAAGCAGGAAAGCAAAACTGCTGCACCTCCACTTAAGAGATAACCCTCAGTTAACCGAACCAACCTGCCTAAGCAAATCACCAGGTTTTTCTGATACCCAGAGATGCAAACTACATTATTCTGAACATTGTTACAGCTCAGGGAAGTCAATTATGGATTGAATGCCACCGAGTTAGGCTGAGTTGGGGTTTGAGGGGTAGAAATTCAGAGCCGTCAAGCCTG